CTGTTGTGCATCCACCTGATATGAGACCAATGAATGGAATGTTTGGGGATATCATTCTAGTTAAATAACATACGTCATCCTTTAAAAGCTTATCACTATCACTCCTCTGACAGCTTCTCAGAAGATTCCACCGCATTAAAACTTCCTAGTATAGAAGCGAACTTTGAGATAATAAGTGTTGATAAGAAGTCACTTGCGCATGACATCCTCTGACTTTCATACTCACTGTAAAGTCTATCCACAACATCTTTGTTTGACTTTCTTATGAAACCTGCGGACTTCTCTATTACACCATCCCTTGATAGCTCAATAAGCTTATTCCTTTTGTGTTCAGTTTGCGACTTATCTGCGGTGGGCTTAGTTTTTCTTGCGGTTGACTTAGCTTTCTTTTGCGGCGCCTTTGCGGCCTCTTCAACTTCTCTCACAACCTCGAATATTTCTTCGTCAGATTCACTTCCCATCTTCTATATATTACGCGGTGTTTACTAGGCTACGCCTGCGTAGTCGGTAGTTTAATGGTATATGTGTAAGGGTGAATGAGGAGTACATCTAATGTGGTGAACTTCTCATCTTTTAGTATTTTTGTAATCTCTGTAATTGTCTCCTGAGGAACACCACTTAGGTAATCATCTGTTATGACCTTCATATCTCTGCGACTAGGGTTGTAGAATGTAACTAGCCTGGAAATGTTCTCCCTGAATGGTTTTGCTACTGATGATAGTTGTTGGGTAATTACAATGACAGATAGGTTGTAATGTCTTGCGGAGAATGCAAGGCGCACCAGTTCTGAGACTCTTTTCTTTACATCTTGACTCGCAGCACAGTCATCCACAATGATGAGAGCCTGGGTTCCGCGGAATATGGTGGACACTGCCTTGAGGATAAGATTGATCATTTCTTGCGAACATGGAATTTGTATAACTCCGTGATCACTAATATGAGCCCAATTAATGTACGTCATATTCCATTCTATTGTTGGACATATAATAACAATATAATCGAAAACTTTATTGTACTCTGTTTCTAACATATTAAGTAAGAACTGAGTCTTACCACTTCCTGTCATTCCTACTATGAGCATGTTGAATGGAGGTATTATATTCATCTCTATGCTTTACCGTTAGTACAAGTTAATACTGAATACTTGATAGATCTCTACTAGCAAAGTTAAGGAGAGCATCTGATACAACAAACACGTTGCACTGAACGTCAGCTGTTGTGGCTTTCTTCTTGATTTCCATAAGTACGCCTGACTGTGTGTTAACAATCTTCTTACCTCCACCAGTGGTATCATCTCGTGTTGACCTAAGGTCGATTACTAGAGCGAAACCATTGCTGAAGAACTTGCTGATGGACATAAACTTGTCAGCCATTGATTTCTCGCACATAGGACAGAAGAATCGTTTTGCCTCTTCGAAGAACCTATTTTTATGAAGTCCTTGGGAGAAGACCGCATTAGGCACACCTTCAATGGTAAGGTTCACTTTATCAATGTTTGGGTAAATATACTCTTCAGAATCAGTTATCACTCTACTGGTAAATAGAAGGACAATTGCTGACATGCTCTTCCTAGGGATATTTATGTTTTCATTAACAATTGTAAGATCCTTGTCCCAATTACTTGTACGCATAAGTGTAACATGTTTGTAGGACAGTGAGCGGCCAGTTGAATACATCCTTGATACTTCACCTGCAAGGGTGTCGTTCTCGATGGTCTCATATTCTAACTCAAGATTGTCAAGTTTATAATTACCCTTAGCTTCACCTCCTTGGGCAGTCATAATCTCATCTGATTGCGGGAGTGTGAGGATGTACATAGGATTGTTATTCATATAGAATGGAGTGTAGAGTCCATG